CATCCGGCTGCGCCACGGCCGGGGACGGCTCGGGCCTTTGCCGGGAGGGCGGGAGGCGCCGAGTGCGTTGGGCCGCAGCGGGGTGCAGAGCCCACACCCGCCGGGTGTGCTGTGCCGCACGGGGAGCGGGTCCCCACCGCGGCAGCCTGCGGTCCCCTCCGCTTCCATAGGCTGAGAAAGAGCGGGCCGGCGAGCGGGACCAGCTCTTGCATCAGAGAAGTCCCGTAAAGGGCGCCTGGAAGAAGTGTTCTGCAGTTCCCTCCCAGTATCCTGCTTCCTCTTAAAGACATACATTTTAAAAAGAAAGGAAGCTGCTAAGTGTTTTGACTGCTAGAGCGTGCTGTTTTTTAATTGATGAGTAGCATTACTTCCAATGTATCATTGCCCCTGGATTTTTTTCCACTGTGTAACATTGTGTATCCTTGATGTGCACTCTTCTAAACACAGTATAATAATTTCAAATAAAGAGACAGCTTGACAGATGTCAGGATTGCTGGTGGCCCTTCAGTTTGTCTTTTTTGAACAATAAAGGAGGAGAGGGATGTGTGAGAGGCACTGTCCGGGTTACTTAGTACTGGTAAGAAGCAAAACTGATTCCGGTGATGGATGGTGATGTTTTCTAGGACGTGTTTTCCTGCTCTTTGCAAAGACAGAAATGAATGAGATTACCTTGTACAAATGTTAAATGCAAATATTTTAGAATGAGTAATAGAAGCAGAGTAAATGTCATTACTCATGGGACATGGTGCTTCAGAATTTCTCTCTAAAGTATTCATTGATTAAAATGCAGTGTACTTCCAAGTGTCCTCTCTCTCTCAAATTCAACTTTCTTTTGCCAAGAGAGGAGAAAGGATAATAACTGCACTCAGTGGTGCTTACTGTGCTGCATTGTATCTCCCCCCAGTTTCAAAAGCAGAGTACAAACTTGCATGAGTTCTGTACAATTTGAAGTTGTTTTTAAAACAGTGGAAAAATGAGCTATAAACATCAGATGAAAGTATGTAGATTAGTTAGATAACAAAAATACCAGCTTGTAGTATTTTCTGCCTTCAAATAAATGTTTTGAGAAGTTATTTGTTTTAAATACACTTCTAAAGTTATGAAGTCTACTATAGCAGTAGTCTTTATAATGACAGCAAAACCAAAAAGTTTACTGAAACATTTAATTACCCTTCTGTGCTCAGTCTCCTTAGTTTCTTTGCTTACCCAACATGCTATGTGACATTGTGGGAAGCAGGTAAATGAAAATGGCCCGTGACTTGAATGTCTCCAACTGACAAACCAGTTGTTGACAAATCAGGCATCTAAGTGTACAGTTTCCAGCCTGATTGGTTTATTTTGAAACTGTTTGACATCAAAGAAAGCTGTGACTCTCACCAGCAAGAATATACAGCTGTTTGATGGGGCGGCGTCACAGGCAGAGTTTTCTGATGGGGGACTTCAGTCAGTTTAATTTCTTGTCACTTCTAATCACGGATTCTGATGGGGAAAGAAAAAACAAAGCAAAAGGGAAAAACCACCCATTGCTGCTGCAAAGTGTCTCCTCCTGCTGCAGGTTATGCTGGGTCCCCTTGGCGAGGTGGTGGGTGGTGCAGGAGGTTGGGTTGGTGCATGGTGGTATTTTTGTGGTGTTCTCTTTGCGGCTTAGTAGCTGTACCACAAAAAAATATGCAATGGTGTGTGTACTAAAGCATGTGTTGTCAGATTCCCCAGGGAGAGGCAGTAACACCAGTGAAGTGGTTTCAACGCTGTTTTTAATTTTGCCTTTCTTTTTGACCAGTTGGAATTCATCTTATGTATGATTATACATTTTTGAAGTGGTCATGAAGTGAATTAGGAGGTACATGCCTGGGCAGTGCCAGAGAGAATCAGAGCTTAGTACTTTATTTGGTGCCTTTTCCTTTCCAGCCGAGGAGCAGCAGTTATGGTCTTACATCTGATGCCTTTGTTGCTTTGATAGTTATTCTGTTGTTGTCAGATGTGTGTTCTTAGGGTTGCCTGGCAGATACACTTTGTATTACTGGCATGACTGACAGTGCAAAGTGTTTGGTTAAAGACATTTTCTCTCGAACTAGAGAAAGGGGCATTCTTGGAGTATATTTTGTGCCACAGATTTTGCCAAACATACCCATGCTCTGCTCTGCCTAGGTGGTTACAGAGAGGGGTTGCTATTGCTGTGATTGGAACACTTGGTTTCTGGCTGGTCTCACAAAGGCTCCGTATCTTTTATCTCCAGGTGCAAGACCTTCTGCTTTGTTTGCACCTAAGTTATGACACTGCATTGCACTACATCAGCCAGTTTGTAAAGCACAGCGGGGTGGGTTTGTAGAGTAAGACAGGGCCGAACACCCAACACCTGCGCTGTTCATGTTGGGGTGGGAGGGTACGTCGGACTAGGATTTGTCTTGTGGACTGAATGTACGTAATACATCTTAGTGCTCTGTAATGTAGCCACTTACTAATTTTCTTCTACCTCAGGAGTGTTTTTGCTACTCTAGTTGCAACCATCTTTAAAAATAGCTATAGTGATGATGATCTAAATGCGACTAAATTACGTCTTTTTTTAATAGGTAAGAGCAAGTAACAGTACCTGTGATAAGTGAGCACTAGCAACCAGAAAGCATGGAAGTTTAACCCTGGTGATGTAAATGTCACTTCTGTTTGTTTCTGCCAATGTAATGGAAACACCTGATCAGGTTGCTTGCAGCTGGATGACATGGCAGAGGGCAGCGGTCACCTGCTTGTACGCCTCTGAAGCTGCCAGCAGTTTAGCCGTGCAGAACAGCCACTGGTTTCATTCTGCTCCTGAGGTCTGTGCGCGTGATCTCCAAGAAGCTGCCCAGAACAAGGGCAGCACAGAGGCAGATGGCTGTTGAGCCTGTGTTTGCTGTGTGTGAGCAGAATGGAAGTGCTTTTGATCCCTGGTGCTTGGTGGGACAGGGATGGCTCGTGACTCCTGCCTCACTGTCTGTAATGCCTTGGGGGTCCTGAGCCAGTAACTTGACAGGACTGGGGACTGTGGGAATGAACCTGGGTTTCTGTGTGAGACTGAGCTGAACAGACAAGATTGTTACATGTGGATTGTGCAGAGCCGTCTTGCCCGGCGTTAACCCAAAACTGAAATAGGAGTTGTGGGTGGAAAGGGAAGGGAATTGTGGGAAGTGAAGATAATTATAGCCACTTCGTGTACCTATAAAGACTGGTAATTTACCTCCATAAGAGAATAGGCTGAAAAAATAGCAGAAGTATCTGTATGGTGTGTCTGTATTTACTGAAGAGGACTTGGGAAAGAAAAATAGCACAGTGCTAAGGTATTTCTGTAGCTCACCTTTTACATATTGATACGGCTGCTTTTGAAAATTGTGATCTTTTCTAGCAATAGGGGTGAATGGCCAGTGTGGTTTTCTTCAGGTTTGGGGGATGAAGATTCCACCGCCTCACTGGGCAGCCAGTTTCCAGGGGTTGGTTTTGTTCCAGGTTTGAGTAGAATTTCCTGTATTTCAACGTGTGCCTCCAGTCCTATTACAGACACCTCTGAGGAGAGTCTGGCTGTGTCATCTTTGCTCCCTCCCATCAGATATTCATGCACGTTGATGAGACCCCCCTGAGCCTTCAGGAGAGGCAGCTGAGGACCTTTGCCTGCCTGCGTTTGCTCAGGATAAATGCTGGGTCTCATCAAATCAGCGCCAATCTGTTAGTAGCTCGCCTTCACACAAAGCTGGGAACGTAGATGTTAAGGCAGCACCTCTAAGCTTAAAGAATACACATGACATTTCTGATGAGTTATTCAAACTACCTGCTTAGGAAAGTAATTAGTGCAGCATTTCCTCAATTTGCAAATGATGGACTGTGGCATGTTGTTTGGCAGGGTAGCACTTACAGAGTGCAGGAGATGAGCAGGTTGTCCCACCCATGCTCTTTTTGTTCTCCTCAAAAGCTACTTCTGATGATACTAAATCACCACAGAATTTGAAGTTCCTTATTCCAAATCCTCTTTCTACGTTGGAAGCAGCCGTAGCTAATAGGCCTGCTCTCAGTGTTTGGAGAGCGGTCAGTGCTGTTCCTGAGGTTCAGTTCTGGCATTCATTATTTCAGCTTTTCTTTCCTGATTTAGAGCTAGCAAAGTTCTGTACGTAGCCATGGTGCCTTTTAGTAACCAAAGTACTGTGAAGCTGTTTGAGAGACCAGGTGATTAGACTTTGGGATAACTGAGTGTGAACGCTGCCATGTTTTGAAATGAATGATGAAAACTTGATTTCCATGCAGCATTGTGTGGGCTTAAGCATTTTTCTCAAGGAAAAGGAACTAATTCTCCAAAAAAGAGTCTGTTTCTGCTTTCAGTAGCATCCTTGTTTCCTAGACTGGCAGTGTAAGTGGTTTACTTCTTAGTTTGAGGTGGGAGCACACACTGTATTCTGTGGAGGATTAAGACACTTCGGGATGGATTAAAAAAGGAATTTCACTCAGTACCAGTTAGCTTGAGTAACTGTATTCTGATGTTTTGAGTCTTGCTTTATTTCTTAATCCTTCTGTTTATAGCATTCAGATGCATTTCTCATGACTGAGATTGTTAGATGTTCTAATCACCTGTTTTTTTTCTCTTGTTTTAGCCTCAAGGAATAGGTTCACCTAGTGTCTACCACGCTGTTATAGTGATCTTCTTGGAGTTCTTCGCTTGGGGACTCCTGACAGCACCCACTCTGGTGGTAAGTGATGTACTTGAGCTTTTTCTCACTGTATGGGAGATGAGGCAACTACTGCAAAGGCCCTGAAGATCATCTGAATTAAACTAAAATTATATATCATTGAGATGCTCTGTTTTTCAAGTGAAAAGTTTTTTATTTTTACACAGAATCAGGAATTTAAAATTATTTCATTAAAGCAGTGAAATGATACAGCATAGCTGTTTATGTGCAAGTCTGCTAACACTCGAGCTTGCATGTAAGTATTTTCTGACTTGAAACCAGTAAGACAGCAATGAAATTATCTTTCCTTTCAAGATGCTACAAAAAGTCAGCACATTAACAATGTAAGGACAAAAATACATTTTAAATTTGCTAAAATTGTGCAAGCATGTGTGTGCGTGTAGGTGGGGAGATCTTTGCTGACCAGGCTGTGCTTTAAGCAGAAGCTTCAGAGCACAGACCCTGTTACACCAGTCACAGCTTCCCTGTGATTAGCGAGACAGTCATACCAACGTGCTTGTACCACATTATGTTCTAATGTAGTTGGTTGCTTTCCATTTGGATTTAATCTCTGAGAGTGACAGACGCTTACACATTAAAAGGAGCGAAGGCTTAAGGATCTCCAAGCAGACTCCACCTAAAATGCAGTTTTGATGTGGCTCTGTAAGCTGATGTCCACCATGAACAGTCTCTTGGGTATAAACTGCAGGTCGGTCACTGGATGGAATTCATCTCACCCAACACAAGTCAGACTGAGAGGTGCCTGTGTTAACCTGCGTGTCGAGGCTCTGGCCACCAAATTGAGAGGCACTTCAGAATGATGATGTCTCTCCTCTCTCTTTCCAGCCCCCTACAGATGACATAGTAACATGTGGAGAGTCTGGTCTGAGATCATTTTCTGGGTTCTCTGTGGTCTGTTTAGATTTCAGACACTGAAGTTGGATGAATGAATCCTTTGCAAAGTGTTGAGAGAACTGAGGCCCCTATCAAGTAAAGCTGAAATACCATAGTACCTGCTATGTGAATTAAAGATTAAATAGATTATTTGTGGTGTGTCTTTTTTTGTTTCTTTGTCTATATTCTCTGAAAATATAAAACTGCTGTGGGTGTGCCACTGCAGAAGTTGTCAGTGAACAGTATTTATAGTTACCACTGTGTAAATGACAGCGTTCGTATTTCTTCTCCAGGTTTTGCATGAAACCTTCCCGAAACATACATTTCTGATGAATGGTCTAATTCAAGGAGTAAAGGTAAGGTGACAAAAGTTAATTACAAGTACAATTTAAAGTGAATGGTGGGTGGAATATAGAAATGATAATTGAGAGAAACGTTCCAGGGGTTTTTCAATATAGCTTTCACAGCATGAATAAAAAGGTAGTTGACTAATCCTCAGTGACACACATGGTGTTAAACTTTGAGAATTTTTTACTTGGAGCTTGTTGCTCCAGGAAGGTATTTTCAATTACTTCCATTTATGTGTGTTCTAAATATATAAAGCTATAAAACACAATTCATAAAGCTGCTAGTATGACTGGATCATCTGCATTTTGAATTTTGGGTAGCTCTGAGGTGACAAATCTCAAATGTTACGTAAGCAAGTGTAGGATAGAAGATAGGTATTGCTTGACCACGTTGCCTGTGACACATGGCGCTGCAGTCACTGACTGGCCCCATGAAGATGTGGTGTGGTATGGTCACGATTCTGACCACTTCGTTCTAACTTCAAATGTTTTGTTTCATTTAGGGCTTACTGTCGTTCCTCAGTGCCCCGCTCATCGGTGCCCTGTCTGATGTGTGGGGACGAAAGTCCTTTTTGCTGCTAACAGTATTTTTCACCTGTGCACCAATACCACTAATGAAGATCAGCCCATGGTTAGTCAGTTCTCTCGCGCTAGATTTGCCGTTTCTTGCCCAGGTTGCTATACAACATTTATGTTTGTAGCATTGTGATAAAATACTGTTTGTGCTCCATGGAAGGTTGAGGCTTTTGTATTACTTTGGTGCAAGAGTCAAACTGAAGTAGCTGCAATGAGGCCAAATGACTTGGTCAGAATTTTAAGAGCTGCTGGTTTTGAGCTGTGTTTTGTAGGCTCCACTTCCCACTTCAGCACACCTGCAAAAGATACCAGCGTGCTATCCTGTAAACTGTGCAGGTCTTCATTGTGGCCGTGTTACTCAAATACTGACCAGCTATTTGCAGAAATGAAAACCTTACCCAGTGCTAGCTGGTGCACGGAGTAACCATTTGTGACCTAACACGTTGCTGCAATTTTATGCTTTTGTTTCTCAAGTTTTAAAATCCAGCAGCTTTCACGCTGTGTGCACACTGGTAAGCTCTGAACTGGCACATGCGTTCCCCAAGTAGTGCCCGAGTTGGAACTCTCAGTGTTGTTGGACTTGCCCGTGTGCTGTACTGCGGGTGTAGCTGAAGTAACACAGACTGCAGTGACGCAGGGCAGAGCCAACTGTTCTGGGACCTCCGGGAGCCTTTTCAGTGTTCTCTCCGGTCACAGGGATTGTTCCTGGGTTCTTCGTGCCTTTTCAGGGAAGTAGCTCATTTCTAAGTGTAGATGAATGTTTCAAATGATGAGTGCATAAAGATAAGGCTAATGTTGAGAACGCTCAGTGGCCAGATTCTCAAAGTACTGCAGTTCCCAATTTGCTTTGGGTCACAGGCATCCCCTCCAAGCCAGTGTAACACCTCGTTTCCTACAAGTACTTCTCCCAGCAGCTTCTGTAGATGTTACAGAATTACGCTGTTTATCTTTGTACTCGCACACTAAGGGGGAATTATGCAGCTGTACTGAGGCACATTCCCATCGGCTCTGTCCAAGTTTATCTTACTATTTGTCAGGAAAAGTTGGACCAGATGATTTACTGTTTAACTGTGTTTGAATTGTAAATAGAGACTTTCTGTTTCTGTTTAGCCTTTCTAATTTTTTTATGATGTTCCCAGGTGGTACTTTGCTGTTATCTCTGTCTCTGGAGTTTTTGCAGTGACGTTTTCAGTGGTTTTTGCATATGTAGCAGACATAACCCAGGAACATGAGAGAAGCATGGCCTATGGTTTGGTATGTATTCTTTTGACTCTGTTCCTGTGGTATTCAGTACTAAACACTTCAGTAGGTGAAGCTTTTCAAAGTTGTATTTTTGTTTCCTCTCTGGCAAGTTGATTTTAGTTTGGAGTCAGGTTTTCCTGTTTAATTGTTCTTATCATCCAGTCCTCTATCTCTTGAATATTCTGCTCCTAACTTAAAATATGGCTGTGTTAAAAGCTGTCTTTCAGATGTCTGTGTTAACAGTCATTATCAGCGTTAATGATGTAATTTGAGGGGCTTTTAGTTATTCCTCCATTGTTTCTCACACTAGCACTATTCTGTCGTCTTTTCAAAAATCTGACCTTTTGTTCCTGGATAATTCTGGAAACGCCATTGTACGGTACCTTGACTGCTCGTGCTCGTGTCTCCAGTCGCGCTGCTGTGCTTCGGTTCACAACAAAGGAAGCTGAGGACCTCGTCTGTCTTAAGTTCTTACAACTCGCCTCCGTTTCCCCATTATCTCCCGATAACCTGCCAGATCTCGGGAGCCTCCACAGCCCTGTGGGTTATGGATTCGCAGAATTATTTGTTGGGTTCAAGTTACAGAACCCATCATCATATTCA